ACTTTTTTTGGCAAAATATCTTTTTATTTCAGAGAAAAATACGAATAACGAAATTCCGTTAAAATCGTCATTTTTAGCAGCAGATTATTGCATGAGTTTGAGGGCTTCGCGTGCAAAAACGAAACACTATCTCGTCTTTTAAACACTCAAATCTTCTTTTTCGCTCTCATAAGACCTCACAAAATGATTTTTGTAAACATTGCGCTCTTCTTTGCGCTTAAAATAATTTAATTTCGAAAGCATGCATTTCTCTTCAGTAAAAATACTCCGTGAATAAAATTAATTTTCACCATGTGCTAAACCTTCAAATGAATTAAGCTTTTGGTGGTTGAATTTCGAAAAGATGTTCTCAACATAACTGTAAAAATTTGTTTGGGCAAATGTTTGAGAACGATACAAAAACTTTTCAAAGTCCGTTAAAATGAAGGTATTTGACCTTTTGCGGTCAACATTCCAGTCGCGAGTCACACATATTTTAATATGTTTCAACCCATATGAGGCCGAAAAATGTACATAGAAAGATATTTCCAAATGCTCTAACCTCATTTGTCACAGAAGACCAATCCAGAGACCATTTTAGTGTGATTCTCTTGTCGTTCGTCGTATTTAGGTCTGTATAAATGATAACGTCCGATGAAACCACCAACCCTGTCGAACACCATCTTGTTATCAAACGTTCGATACCTTTCTTCACTGTGGCGTCTTATTCAACGGTTCAGTTGACTGCGAGTATTGCTCAGTCTGCAACGCACTAAAAGATTACATCTGACAGTATAATTCAAGCTAAACTGAGTTTACTACAAACTTGTACGCCCTTTGAGTATTGGCTTGTCACGCAATACCAGTGACAAAGGAACTTTAGGGGGTAGGTGAAGGGCAAAACTCCAGAATTGAACTCTTGGAACCTACAAAATATTTTATTTTGTAAACATTTTTATAATAGTATCATCGTTGTCTGATGACAAACAGTAAAATACATTTATTTATTGCAGGGAATTATTCTTGTCTTTTTGGCGCTCTGTGCCTGTCGTACTTATTAGGGGTGTTTTTCTTTCCAATAAAATTGCAAGAAATACCCGAATAGCATGAAAGAGAACCTTTTGTAAATTTTTACAACACCATGCTACAAAACGCAGTGGTGGGAATGTGTGGCTTATGTGAGACTGGGGTGCTATGTTCCGTGGCCAATGGGTAGGGCTTGCATAAGGGAGTGGTACTATTAACCACTGTTAACAGACCCAACTAACGTTTAAAACCTTAAACTACAGAGGGGCCGACATATGTGCGCTCGGCACAAAAAAAGGTCGATCTCATCTTCAGGACCAGTAAATTTGAAAGCCGACTCGTGACTTGCGATATTCTTGGTGCATGAAAGTAAAGGAACAATTTCCGTTTCACGCATTCGATCTCTAGTGTTGTAACCACAAACTCCGCCAATAAGCGACTTGAACGAACAACAACCTTCCATTTTTTATCTAACAAAGTTGACCGTGTAAGTTAGTGTATTTGTGAAAAACAGTCCGAAACCCCGCCTCTAAGCGAACAATAGGCTTCGTGTAATTACCATAAACCAGGTTTTGTTTACTTAGGCTTACTATTTTTAGCAGGTGCCAAATTTAGCTTTTCAACGAGTATTAGCCAAAGGCCCGATCTCCCCTTCCTCTACCCCCTAAAAAATAACTTTCCATTGTATGATTTGCATTGCGTAACGACTCTCCGTATACAAAACTACGTTGACTGCAACATATGTGAAGTGCTACTAAGCATCGATCAGATCTACTGCACCACAAACCGAACAACACTCACAGTCAGCTGAACCGCTGGATAAGATGCCACAGTGCAGCAAGATGTCAAACGTTTTATAACGAAGGTTGGTGACAGTTCGCAGATTGACAGGCAGTTTCATCGGACGTTATAAATACGACGAGCGACAAGATAACCACAGTAAAATGGTCTTTGGATCTTTCTTCTAAGGCAAATGAGGTTAGAGCATTTGGAAATGTGTACCCATGTACATTTTCCGGCGTCATATGGGTTGAATTATATTAAAGTATGTGTGTGACTCGCGACTGGAATGTTGACCGCGAAAGGTCAAATAACTGCATTTTACGTAAGTACTAAAACAAGGAACGACCTAAAACCACCTAAAACCACCTAAACCCAGCTACAACCACCTACAACCATCTACAACCACCTCAAAAATTTCAACAACCACCTACAACTACCTCAAAAACATCTACAACCACTCGCAAACTATCTAAAACCATCTAAAACAAGGCATAAATGTCTAAAATAAGGCGAAACGACAACATGTCACGTACACTAAATACGAGAATCGAACGAAACCTCTACCTCCCCCTGAAATCTTACTCTCCCTGGTCCCATGTATAATCAACCATCTCACGAAATGAAATGCGATAGCATGCTAATTATTTTACATTCCCTCAGCAAAAGACTTAAAGAACTTTACAAAATGAACTAACAAGTTACAAAAAATAATAAATAGGGAATAATACATGGGCGCGCGTAGATATGGAATTAATCTTCGAGTGTTTAACTCGATAGCTCACGAGTGAGCGCAGTGAACACGAGAAGAGAAATTCCATATCTACAAGCAACCATGTATTATTTTGTTTATCATATAAACACAATAGCCCTTTTCTGGGAAGAAAATCCGACCTCATTAATGAATGCAAATAAATGAATCGACAATCCTCGAATAACAATCGTAAAGTGCGTTGGCGGTGACTCTTAAGATGGAAAATGCTTTGAATCATGATTACAAAAACTTCCATATATACGCGCGCCTATGTATGATTCCCAATGTATTATTTTTTGTAACATGTTACTTTTGCTGAGGGAATATTTGAAATTGAAATTTTTGAGGTGGTTGTAGGTGGTTTTAGGTGGTTTTAGGTCGTTCCTTGTTTTAGTACTTACGCTGCATTTTAACGGACTTTGAAAAGCTTTCGTATCGCTCTCAATCATTTGCCCAAAGAAATTTTTACAGTAATATTGAGAACATCTTTTCGTTATTCTACCGCCCAAAGCTTAATCCATTTGAAGGTTTAGCAGTTTAACTATTTTACACGCAAAGAGGAACGCAGTGTATACAAAAAATGTTTTGTGAGGTCTTATGAGGTTGAAAAAGAAGATTTGAGTGTTAAAAAGACGAGATTGTGATTCGTTTTAGAATGCGAAGCCCTCAAACTTGTGCAATAATTTGCTTCTAAAAATGATGATTTTAACGGAATTTCGTTATTTGTATTTTCTCTGAAATAAAAAGATATTTTGCCAAAAAAAGTATCCAGTGATTTTAGTTATAGTCTAGCCTATCTAATATTAAAATAAGAAAGAAATCGAATTTTTCACCCTTGCCGCGAAATTTAAAATTTGTCTGATTTTTACAGACAAGCGCTCTTAAATTTCATAGAAAGACTTTTAAAAGTTTTGAATTAAGCAGTGTAACTGCCTAGTTTCACGCAACTTACCTTTCTAAATTCTTGCATTGCTTATTTCAAGAATTACATCAACCTTCAGCCGGGAACCACAACGGACACACAAGATGCGAGAAACTTCTAATGATTCTACGTGTAAAATATTTACATTTCGAAATATTTATCGTTGTAAATCGACCATGTTTCGTTCCCTCATCCTCGAAACGTGATCCAGTGACGCATGTGGTTTTATAAAAGGAAATATTATATTTAGAACGGTTGCTACGGGGGCTGTTAGATTTACGTTAACTCGTAAGAATGCGTCACGAAGATAATAATGGTACACGATGAAATTGATAAATATTATTTCTTATGACCTTTTTGATAAGACGGTCAACATGCAACAATTCTATAAACTTTATTACTGTCTTATACAGTCAGCGTGTGATTGTGATGGAACAATTAATTCCATTTAAGGAGTGAGGCGGTTTCGCCTTAAAATTTGGCTCGCTAATCAGTTTTTTTATAGGAGCTTATTTCACTGAACTAAGATTTTACAGTGATTTTGATATTTGAGCAAGCAAAGGAAGAGACGTTCAAATTAATAGCAGGCTTCACACTTACTACGACTATGACGTGGTTTTCTTGAACATTTTCTGACTTGAAGCCCTTAATTGTTAAAATTCTTAACTTGCTTTATCACAGGCGTCTCAAGCTCACGATTCGAGAAAAAGCAAACGATTAATTCATGAAAGCGTCACGCGTTGTGTGACTCGATGTTGACTTACTAGAGAAACCGTTGAGAATCGAATTTTAACACGTTATAGGGAATAGTATGCGGAACTTCTGTCTTGTGCGAGGAATAACAGTGCTTGAAAAGTGCTTAAAACAAGCTTAAACGACAGAGAAAGCCGGAAACCACAACGGACACATAAGATGCGAGAAACTTCTAATGATTCTACTTGTAAAATATTTACATTTCGAAATATTTATCGTTGTAAATCGACCATGTTTCGTTCCCTCATCCTCGAAACATGATCTAGTGACGAATGCGGTTTTATGAAAGAAACATTTTATTTAGAACGGTTGCTACGGGGGCTGTTAGATTTACGTTAACTCGTAAGAATGCGTCACGAAGATATTAGTGGTACACGATGAAATTGATAAAAAATTATTTCTTATGACCTTTTTGATAAGAAGGTCAACATACAACAATTCTATAAACTGTATTACTATTTTATACAGTCAGCGTCTGATCAGTTTTTTTATAGGAGCTTATTTCACTGAACTAAGATTTTACAGTGATTTTGATGTTTGAATAAGCAAAGGAGGAGACATGTTTGTACTACGACTCAAAATACTGAGTTGGCAATATTCTTATGTTTACTAATTAAAAATTGCATTAGTGGTATGTTTCAAATATCCTAAATATTTAGGAATAGGGGTAGATTCCCGCGGAATACAGCTGTGGAGTCGAGTACTTTCTTATTACGATTACAGTTCCCAATAGCTTGGGTATAAATACAAGGCTTAACAGTTGTAAATTATTCAGTCTACAACTGTGTGCATGAAATCTCGTGCTTTAAGGTCGGAGAAGAAAAATCTTTCCATCATGCCTGTTTCACAAAGTTCTACTTTGCTGCTCAGCGTGACAATTTTATTCACGATTCAGTCGCTACCTCCAACTCAGGCGATGTGTTTCAACAAAAGCAGAATAGGATTTGAGAAATGTAAGTAGGAATCCATCCTCTGTTCTCTTGTGATAACCACCGTATTGTTTCTTTTCCTTGGTTTTGTATCATTTGTTTTTTTCCCTATTTTAAACTCTTTACTTGATACTCTTAATCGAAGACCAAACTATTATCTTGTCATCTTTAAAAGCTCGGAACTGTGCTGAGCTTTAAAGCTCTGGTCAAAGAATCAGCGGTGTGTCTACAATTGACCCAGATCATATTACTATTATCATTATTATAATTTTTTTCTTTTCTGGACACCTCACGACTCGTTGAGAGTAGCGAATACGTTACGCAATCTATGAGAGTGGGTGAAAATAGTTCAAATCTTGGAAACTGTTTTTAATGCATTATCGGGCTTAGGGTATCATTGATGATTGATACGCCAGCAGTGTAGAGTCCATGTCTTTCGGCTTTGGAATCCGAAGGTCCTGGTTCAAGTATCCATAGGAGAAATCAAATTCACAACCCGTTTACCTGGCCTCTCGCTCGTGACAGGACAAAAAAACATCTCTTCGAAACCTTTTTTCCTTCGATCTTGAAGACTTGTCGAATTTTGTGTAAGGTCTGACCGAGGATAGTGATTTCACCTAAGAAAATAACCAAAAAAATGAGCGAAATTTGTGCCTTAAGCGAAATCGATCAACTGCAAAGTTTTAAGTGGCTTTGAAATCGAGAATTTTTTTTTCTCCCAACAGATAAGAACTGCGCTGAGCTTTACAAATGCGGCCAAACCATCAGTGGTGTTTATACAATCGACCCTGATAGTTCAGGTGCCTTTGATGTGTATTGCGATCAAACGACAGCTGGTGGAGGATGGACAGTGATCCAGAAGAGAGTGAATGGCATTGTTGATTTCAACCGCACCTGGAAAGATTTTAAAAAGGGATTCGGTGATTTTCTCGTTCGTGGATTTTGGCTCGGACTGGACAAGATCCAACGCCTGACGCAAAACAAGACAGAAAATAAACTCCGCGTGGATCTGGGAGTAAATGCGAGCAAAACTGTTCACGCTGAGTACAAATGGTTTGGTATTGAGAGTGAGAAAGTTCATTACAAGCTACGCATCGGCCATTTTTCACGTAAGCTAGTCTATTCTTCCCTAACACATGATCATTGTCATAGGTGATCATTATTATCATCACCCTTACATATGGTGAATCTCACAGCTCTTTACTTACATGTCTCGATCTCAAAGGATTGTATGCCATGGAAATATCGTTGTTATTCATACATTTTTATATTGTTATGCATATCACACTCATGAGTCCAACCTTAAACGATCCATTTACCTGCAAGTTCCCTGTGACTTGGTAGCAGTGACACAGCACTTGGTAACAGTAGCTCATAATTTTATACACATATAGAAGCCAAAAATAGGCCAAGGAAGGACTCTTAACAATTACGGATGATTTACAACTGTGAAGCTAAAATATATTTAAATTTGATTCCTTCCTTTTTCTTGTGCAGATGATTATAGTACTGCTTACGATTCCCTCTCCAGTCATAATGGCACGTCATTTAGTACATGGGATAAGAATACAGCTGGTTGTGCATGTGAACAGAAAGATTGTGGAGGCTGGTGGTACCTGAACGTCAGTAAAACTTGTGGTACTTACTCAAATCTTAACAGCATCTATAACAAAATTCACTGGGCAAACTTAACCCTTTATGCTAAAAGCAATCCCACAACATCTGAAATGAAAATCAGACCAGTGGACTTTCGAATTCCTTAAAGCCTCCTCCCTAAGGGGACCGATAATTTTGTTTCGGGTAGATTTTTTTGGTGTGTGTCATGAAACAATTGTTTGTATGAAATAGTTTACCAGATCCTCTTACAAGGCTCTGTAATGTTCTCGGGTGGGTTGATAAAGTTATCTATGATTTATCAGGAAACTTGATTGATTTGATAAGTATTTTGATGGAAACAAACGCAAACATTTTTTGGTAGAAAGTTTGAACTGGTGAACTACATCCGACCATGCAGTTTTGGATCTAAACTTCCTACGGGCATCTAATTAGATTAAATCGACTTCATTCCAAATGAGATATATCTTAAGGTAAATTTGTAAACGTTTTGCGACAACGTTGAGATAAATGTTGTGTAGTAAATAAATGAAATAATGGAAGCCTTTTTTATGTGTGTGGATGATGTTTGTGAAAAAAAAATAGGAATACCACTTTAGTCTCAAACTTGTTGATCATTTTGATTAGCCGCGAGTTTTACAGAAAGCAGAAAATAAACCTGAACCTGAAGTGTACAGACTGATGGGTTCAATGTGGGGTGCAATTGAAAATGAAAGCGAAGTTGTTATGTTTCCTGGGACGATGGTCTGTACTAAACACAGACGTGATGGCGTAATATGCAGAAGTAGAGCTGTCATGATCGATGGCACGCTTTCGAATCCTTAGTAGAAGCTGGAGTGCTAACCCTAACTCTTACGCATCTTTCGTGCTCTCCAAACTTCCTGCGTGCTTCATATCTCGATGAACGCACGTTGACGTATGAACCAAATGTTAATAGCAGAAAACGTTCATCAGTAGCCCTATTGATTTTGAATGCTTCTATATGCTACACACTTTAAAGTGAATCTCACCTAAAACCCGTGAACACCCACAGCCATCTATATATGTTTCGTCAAAAATGACCCTGGATGAGTCAAAGTCAAATTACAATTCCTCTGGAGCCTTAGAACATTCTAGAGTAATGAGATCATATGATGAATAAAATTTGCAAAACATTTTATTACTCTCTTTTTTATTGATGAATAACACATGAAACAAATCTATGAATTATTATGTCCTCCATACAGTCATAGTCTGATTGTGATGGAACAACTAATAATGTGGTAATTCAAGAATGACATACAGATGCCTATGTTTCAAAAATCCTCCTTTAGGAGTATTGGGAGATTCCCGGGAGATAGAGTTATCTTCGAGCATATTCTTTTTACGTCTACAGTTTCAAACCCTATTAGCTTTAGGGAATATCTTGGTTACAGATAAAAGGTTAAAGAGTTGAAATTTCTTCATTCTACAACTGTGCTTCATCCCAAAATAGACAGGTTTAAGGTTGGAGAAAATGTTTAATCACATAATGTCTGCTTCACAAAGTTCTAATTTGCTGCTCAGTGTGACACTTTTATTCACGTTTCAAATGTTATCTTCAACTCATGCAGCTTCAATAACTTGCAATACTCCTTTAGGAGTATAGGGACATTCCTGGGAAGTACAGTTGTCCTCGAGCATATTCTTATTACGTCTACAGTTTCACACCGTTTTAGCTTTAGGGAATATCTTGGGTATAAATACAAGGGTTGAGCAGTTGAAATTGATTTAGTCTTCGACTGTGCTTCATCACAAAATATACAGCTTTAAGGTTGGAGAAAAAATTTCCTCATATTATAGCCGTGATTACGCACACCTTGGGTTTGGGGCCTTACGGAGGGTAAATGGCTTGGGTTTGGTTGAGCTCAGGTTTCTTTTAACCCTTGGGGATGCTGTTTCACAGTAAAAGACTTCTCTTAGGGTCAAATATAATAAGATATAAGTTCACTGACCTGACAAATTGGCAGGAGAAGTACAGAGCAACATGGATGTTACGAATCGAGATCTATTAAGCTAAATATCAGTGATTCTCCTTCCTGTTATGCGACAGTCCTCCATAAATATAACAGTCCAGCAGTTTTTTGCGAGAAGACACCGAAGATGGCGCGAAATTAGCCAAGTGCATCGGAGGTGACCTTAAAACACTGCAGGCGACTTCCTGTATTAGCTACATTTTGCTTTATGATTGGTCAAGCCACCTCAGGGAGCGGATAAACCGAACTTTTCAGTTCAGGAACTGTTATGGGAAGTTCTTTTGTTCTTTTTGATGTATCCATGGAAATAACCCAAGGGCAGTTTCGGTTTGGGGAAAGCGGTTACACACAAAAACGTCCTTGCCCGTGGGCAAACGCTATTTACCCATGGGTAAAAGGGCCAGTGAAACCACGACTAATGTCTGCTTCACAAAGTTCTGATTTGCTGCTCAGTCTGACACTTTTATTCACGTTTCAAATGCCATGTTCTACTCGTTCAGCTTCAATAAGTTGCAAAAACAACAATAAAGGATCTGAGAAATGCAAGTATCAATCTAAGTTCTCTGATGTATTCTTATAACCCTTGAGTTGTAAATCTAACTTGAAGAAGACAGCTATTAACGGAGTGGCAAGCAGTTAATTAGAATCGCCGGTTAAAAAGTGCTGATAATTTACCCGCTGCTTGTTTCTTTTACTTGACTTTCTTTGTTTCATGGTCTTTCCCTAATATCCATAATCAAACCAACCCAACTTAAATCATTTTTTGTTAACAGCCAGGAATTGTGCTGAGCAAGAATCACCGGTGTTTATACAATCTACCCTGATAACAAAGCTCCTTTGATGTATATTGCGACCAGACAACAGCTGGTGGAGGATGAACAATGATCCAGAAGAGACTATGTAACATTGTTGATTTCAACCACACCTGGGATGACTATAAAAAACGGATTCGGTGATTTCCTTGTTCGTAAATTTTGGCTGAGAGAGATCCAACGCCTGACGCAAAACAAGACAGAAAGCAAACTCCGTTTGTGGATCTGGGAATAAATGCAACCAAAACTGTTCATAGGGAGAATGAATGGTTTGGTATTGAGAATGAGACAGCCTATTACATGTTGCGCATCGGCAGTACTCATGTAAGCTAATCTACTATTTCCTAATAAATTATAATTTTCATAGATGATCGTTTTTATCATCAAACTTAAGTGAGATTTACAGAAAGCAGAAAAAAACGTGAACCGGATGTGGATAGATGGATACGTTCAATGTGTGGTCCAAGTGAAAATGAAAGCAGAGGTTATTGAAGCTCGTCGGAAACGATTGTTTCGATCCTTAAAATGATTGTTTCGTAGGGCGCACGATCACTGAGTGTAGAAACGAGGATAACGAAAAGTAATGATATGCTCTGTATGTCCCAGAGGTAGTTCTTAGAGCTAGGCGCTACAGTTTTAGCCGATTTTGTAACATTGTGTAGATTATATCTAATTTGGATCCATTAAGTCCATTGATTTTCAAGGTGTGGCTGTCAAGAGTTGTCCTGAATAGGGAATAAATCAAAGACAAAGTGATCTTCGAAATGGTTTTCTATCTAAATAATTATTCAACTTTGAAATTCATTGAAGTGAAATAAAATACCAGCTTATCCAATCTAACAATGAACTTCAGACACCAATGAATCCTCCAACCTGCACGTTTCTCAATTTCTCACCTGGTGACCATTTATACTTTAGAGTGACAAATGACTTTATATAATAAGCTCAGTTATGTACGCATTCTGATTGGTTCTCACTTATGATCTATTGCACACAGCATAAAAAGACAAATTTAAGTTGGTGTAAGGTTGGCGTAAAGCAGTCATAAAGTTCTGCTTTACACAGCTTTGCGCCACATTTACGTTACGTAAAGGCACGCTTTACACAGCCTTTACGCTTTGACGTAAAGCTAGAGTAATGAGACTTCTCTACGAAGACTTTAAGCACAGCGTAAAGCTGGTGTAAGGTAGAGATTTACGCCAGCTTTATGTATATGCGTAAATAGAGTATAGGCGTCTTTGTGCCAAATTTACGCGTGACGTAAAGTCAAATTTATTCTTGTGTGAAGCAGCCGTATAAATCGCTCACATATTGTGAAAATTCAAATCCCACCTGTGCAGAAAATAAAAAATCTGCTTTGTTTTATATCGCTTAAAGCTAGGTTAAAAAGTTGTTTGTACGGAATAGGGACAGTCAATCAATTAATCACTCTGCTGTGTTCACAATCTTGTATATTTGTCAGAAATACATGCTCCCTTGCATGTGAGTAATTTAACATTCAATCATTAACGATAACATTTCAGATATTATTTGCAATCTTTGTTGAAAAATCATTTTTCTGAAATAATGCCACCAAACTAACCTTGTTCTAATAATATCAATTTATAATACGAATGAAAAGGCAATAAGTTTAAAGTTTAAAAAATTAAAAACATTGTTCTTATATCGTTTGAAGTATGACGACTTTGAACACTTTAAAACAATTAAATGAAGGATTAAAACTTGAAATTTTGTTCTGACATCAGTAGTCAAAATTGAAAATTTTCCACTAATCTCAGGTTGAAATATTGTTAACAGAAACAACTGAGAACTAAAACACTCACTTTATATTGGTGTCAATATAAAAATAGAGAAAATGATAATATTGTTCTAATATCACTTAAAAACACCACGAACATTAACATTCGAAATTTGTGGTCTCCCATCACTACAGAAGTTACTTAACGAACTTTACGCAGATTTACGCAACTTTAATCTTCCGTAAATCTCTTTTTTCGTGCTGTGTTGGAGGACAGACGTATAGATGACGTCATCATTAAAACGTTTTTAAAATTCTTTATTATATAAAACAAATAGATTTTAAGTTGCCGTGCGTCTGTTCAGTAATAGATCACAGAGGACGTCAAAAAGTGGTAAGAACATCAGTGACATACTCGGCTACGCCTCGTGTGCCACTTTTTTGTTCTTACCACAATTTTTTTTAAAATTTATAAAAACTGTATTTAAGTAACAACATATAACATAATATTATTAAGAGAGGGTTATAGAAAGGAGGAACTTTATCCTCATTGTAAACTATACCCCAGATCTGTGATCTATTACTGTCATCTGTGATCTATTACTGAACAGACGCACGGTAACTTGGAATCTATTTGTTAAATATACGCGTTTCAGGCACAGTCGTGCTCATATAAAGAAAATCTTTGGTCCAAGCTTGTGAATATGTCAATAAAACAAATTAATCTTTAACAGAATTAGAACTCCATTATTTCCGTAGGAAAATGAAGTCGTAAGAAGATTCAAACACTTCACTTTCTTTTTCAGCAAAATGAACTATGCATACTTCTGAAAGATAAAGATAATATAATTCCTTTCACTTTGCCAATATTTATGAATGTCTGTTTCATTTCGTGCAAAAAATCAAATTTATTTTAACGCAACGGCTTTTTTTTTTGTTTATTTAAGCTATTTTAACTGTAAACAGCAGATAGCTTACATCTCACACTGAAATTTATTCTCTTCTAAAGAGCTAATGTCAGCATGCATCAAACAAACAGCGGCAAGTCACCCAAATTTGTTTTCCCTCCTACTTTCATACTTTGTAGCCCAATATGTCCTAGTAATTGTGGTGTAGTTTTTTTTTGTAAAAATTTATTTTAGTTTTCGAGAAATAATATTTTCCGTTCGACCGCTCAAATATGCAAATTTTCACCGTGAATAATACCCGAGTTGTGTGACCTCATGTAACGAATGTACCAGACCTACGGTATTTCTGTTAACATAATCATTTGTTTTATCATCTAAACTTAATCCCCTGTCGTTATTGAAGCTGGAAAACAAATATTTATTTTTTGGTGAATATTTTTGTCCGACATACTTTCCTATGTCGAAAAGTAGCATCAAAACAAAGACAGTTTAACATGAGAAGACACAAGTGCTTTGTACTGTAAGTATTAAGCCCGCTGGGCTCGTCTTTTTCAGATGTGATAATCCCGAAGTTAATTTGATTTAATCTCATTAAATATGTCATGGGCCGACTAACTTAAATTATCAACACTCTCGAGTTAGCAGCTGGATAATGTTACTATGTCGATATTCGAATGTCATGGTTTTTTCCCGCCTATCTTTTCTTTGCAGTTTCGTATTGCAAACGCGTGATTTAGTAGCAGTAGAGATGGCACCTAGGAAGGGTTTCTCGCCCTTCACTCCGGTCATCAGCCCTGAATTAAGTCCACAATTGACTTGGTTCATTCTAAGTTCGAAAGTTTGTGGATCAACGCCGACGCAATACTTTAAGCGGTCGCCTGTTGTCGCCAGTTTTCCAAGCGATTTTCAAAGAATCGACAGTGCCCACATTCGGCTGCTAGATGGCCACCATTACTCGAACAAGAAGTCCTCTAATGCAACGGAAATTGTCTGTTCCTTGTTTGGGTTGATAACCACTCTTCTTCGCCGTTCCTCTTCAGAAAGCTCTGAGTTCATTTCGCAGCTGAGAGATTTGCTGAACTCAGTAGATCTCAGTAAAATGTCTATCGACGAAGAATATGAAGGCCAAGCAAACAAAGAACGACCACGTGCTTCACGATGCTTGGAAATGCCAACGACACCAACGAACAAGACATCATCTGTGGCCATGACACCCCCAAACAGTGGAAACTCGCAAAGAGCTGAAAAAAAGAATGTTTCCCCAAATCTAAAGGAGATCAGCGAAAAGGAAGATTTGGATACTCCAGAAAAGGTGCTGTTGATGAAGCAGCGAAGCAGTCGCGTCATCAAGGACGTGCATGACGTGTGCGAAAGAAACAGGGAAAGTTTGGCGATGGTGCTTTCGAACATGTGCGCATTTGGCGACCCAGAAGCGAAGGCCATCGTCAATGAAATTGTCGAAGAGATGGCTGTAAAAATGGGAGTAAAGAGGAGTGTGGAAGAGCTAGTTGGCGACGACACAATGTCGAAGTACGTGGCGTGCCTGAGAGTTCCTGATTGGAAGCTTGTCCTTTTCCAGGCGATGGCGAGAGTTTCTTCGAAAACGTGGCAATCCGTGATAAACATCACAGGGCTCAGAAGGACGGGGGTAAGATGTTTAGTTACGTTGTTCTTACGTCGGTATATTAATATTCATACTTGGCGCCCCGGCTAAGGGAATAAAAGAACAAAAAAAGAACTATTCCATCGCGAGCCTCAATGTTTATAGCAGCTCTTTCTTTTGTTTTATTCAGTTATTCTCGTAAGCGAAGCCTTGTACAGGAAAAGATAAGCAGGGTTTTTTTTATTATTAAGCGGGCGTTTTACTCAACTGCGTCTTCAAAATTACCCTAGGTCTGTTTTCCAGAGCAATTTGAGCCAGTGGTAAGCTCTTTTTCAGCTGGTGAAATATGCTGGAAGCCGGCTCTTAGTGACAAACCCTGGACCATTAATATAGAAGGTCATCGCCCTACTTTCTATTAATATTTCATGACACCAAGTGTAAATTTAAAGTATAATCTTTAAAGTTTTTTCCCATGAAATTCTGTTGATAGATGCTGTTTGAACTGGTAGAGCTTTATTCATCAAGAACTCAAAAATTTATATGAGGAAAATAAGCGGTGCTTTAACGGTAAAAGCAGTACTTTAACTCGTTTTTTCAAATTTGAAGAACATAGGGCTGGCAAAGTGATAAAAGTTTCTCATAAAATGGTCACAAAGACCCTTGCTGACTGTAGCAATGTTATTGTTACAGGTCAAAATTATGTTCAAGGGACTGAAGATTTTTTAACCTACAGAGGTTGATTCTCTGTTTCCTTTGTTTCCTAGGACTAGTAGGAGACAAAGGATACAAAGAATCAACCTAGATTAAAAAGTTTAATCTTTGCTTTTTATCACCTTGCTTTCTATTATTTTCTTAGAAATCCTCTCACACGCCTCTCCTCCTCAACTTAAACCAGATCAAGGCAGCTAAGAAGATGGTTTTTGGAGCTTGTAAGGAGTATATGGGGGTTAAGAAGGTGGCTCCTCCTATACAAGGTTTCTCTGTGAATTTGAGTTCTGTTGTGGAGTTAATCGTAAGGGAACAAAGGCTGCACCAGCTGTCTTCACATGCTTTGCGACTGATGATGAAGCTTGATGGGAGACCATTTTGGGGTAAAATTATGTGATAATGCATGCCGTCTCTGCAGTTTTGTCTGTAAATTATTTTATTATTATTATTATAAAAGGTCGTTCCCCACGTATGATAATCATCCACATATTTTTTTTGTGTGTGTGTGTTGTACTTCCAAATCAAAATAACTATAACTGTTAAATTTTTTTGGCCTTGCAAGCAGTTCTTTGTATGGAAGGTGGTCATTATAATAATGTGTAAGGTGAAATGGGTTGGTGAAGATTGCAGTTTTTGTCTTGACTAATTAAGTGTAAAAAATTGTTTTGCAGGTAGAGCTCAGGTGTTGTTTGGAATTGTTCCCCGTGATGGTGCTGTATATAGCCAGCAAAGTGCAAAATCAGTCTACCCATTGACAATTGCCAACTGTAAAGAAGACAGGTTTGTGAATTGCAGCTTGCTTGAACTCTTTACTACCTTCTGGCTAGAATATGCTTGCGGTTGTATGTGCATTTAACTTAAATAACACAATGACAGATTTTTGTAAGCCCCACTCAGTTGCAATATCACCAGGTCATGCATCCACTCTGAGATCTAAGTGGATTGATATCAATATCCCTAATTTGGCTTTAATGCACTAAATATAACAATGACTGTATAGATTTTTGGTTTTTGTTTGTTGACAGAGACAACCTCAAGATTCTTTTTGAGGACATCAACCACCAGAAGAAAATATTAAAGGAAAAAGGAATGACAGTTGATGGTAGACATTACACCTTTGAATTTCTGGGTAAGAATCAATGTTAGTCTTGGAATTTGCTTTAAAAGTCAACTTCTTGTTCATGATACTATTTATAGCAATTTATTGTGTTTCTACCCAGTTGGTAGTCTGACTAGAACTAGATTGAAGCAGTAGTCAAACTATAGTAAATTAAGGGTTTTTTATATTGTAAAACATGTTCAAGGTTTAACTGCAGCAGCAAGAAATAAAACCTGAAATTTATTACTATTTTACGTCAGAAATTGATTTGACTACCCTTTTCTTTAGATACATTAGAGATTAATTTCCTGGAAAGTTTAGCATGTTAATTTTTGCTTTCCCATTTCTGTTATCAAACTTAGTTGTACTGGACTACAAGACCTTGGTACTTCTTTTGGTGAAGAAGACGAATGCTTCATTCATGTTAGGTGGTAGAGGTGTCAGTGTTGAGTTCTGTTTCATCTGCAATGCTATCAGGGTAAAGTACTCAAATGATATAGAAATTAGTATGGGGCAACTGCAACTTGTGCTGTTAAAGTTGAGGTACATAAAAGTGCTGCATCAGTTCATCAACTTTTTTTACAGTGATTTCAGATGACTTTGATCTTTGCCAATATTTGGGAAAATAATTAGTGAGTGATAGAAACATCAAGTAGCTTTAATTCAGTCAAAAAAAGTTGTAAAGTACTTCTCTAAAGGTCATTCTGCTTTTAAAACATCTAAAAATCACTGAAAGTATGAATACATGTACTGTAAAAAGAACAGGGCTCACACAGAGTCATAAATTCTTGGAAAAGTCTTGATTTTCCAGACCTGGAAAGAGTCTTGAAATTGAAGATAATGTCTAGAAAAATAGTTCAAGTCTGGAGTTTTTTTATAGCTACAAAAAGTGCTTAATAAGTTCATTTTTTCCCCCTGTGGTCAATTCAATCTTGCCTGTAGCTAAGACATTCAATCACAGAATGAGAAGTTTCACAATTGCACCATGGTTATTGTACATTTGCAGTGCATCATGAAAGAAGCTTGGTTTCTGCATTTTTCAAGATCTCTATTGATCACCTATTTGACCATCTTCAGTCTGGAAAAAAATAAATTGATGTTTTGGAAAAAAGGTCTGGGAAAAGTCTTGAATTTTGGATCCAAAAATCTGCATGAACTCTGAAGAAGATAATCAGAAGCATGATAAATGTGTAGTTCTATCTGAAACTATAATATTATATATTATTTGATAGTGTGCCTGTTTTTGTCAGGGTTGCAAATGCCATGATGTTGCTCCAGATGAGACATGCCTGGATTGCCTCAGAAGCAAATGCAACATGGGAAGGTGTGTAGGCATTTGATCATTGTCATATTAAATTACATTCAAACACATAAAGGGGATTTTCTTACTGTTACATAACAAAATGAATTTTGTAAGCCATGGGGAAATGACTTGTACTAAAGCATGAACTGAAATTAGGTGTATAGTTTGGGGTTTTTTTTAAAATTGTAGCTAGTAAACTAAAATCCTCATTCAGGATCTTTTGCCAAACTTGGAAGGTTGCCAAAAATTGTTTTCATACTCTCAGGAAAGGAGTACTCATAGTTTGGTAATTGAAAAAGAAAAAGAAAAACATTTTTAGAGAAAAACATGAAATAATTCATTGCTTCAGAAAATCAATCATTCTTTGAAATTGTCTGGTAGATCAACTGGTATACGAGATGATCTGGTTTTTCTTTTGGTCGAAGAGCTTTGCAACATTCAACTTTGTGCTCTCCATATGAAGATGCGCAACACTGAACAGTTGTTGGCATCCATTGGTCTTCTTGCATACAGGGTAGATTCCCTAGCAGAGGCCAATGCTGCCTTGTAAAACTATGGCCCAGAGTCATTTCATGGCGATTGCATCTCAGTAAAGAAGAAGTTAGATCAACAGTCTGCTATTACAAAGCAGAATATCCATGTCAGTTCAATGTCTGGTAAGACATTTCCTAAAATAATGTTTTCAAGAGATGTTTTCCATAGGTCTTAGGTAAAATCTTTTTTTTTTCTTTTTTAATTTGCTCTCATGCTGTTGTGTTTCAGGTCCAACAGAACAGGAAATCCTTCAACACCTTGAAGAAATTGTAGAACTTGCCCTACCACTGGATAAATTCAAGAAGCCGTATGAAGATGTGAACACGGCAAAAAATTTGATCCTTAACAGAGTTACATTTTACCAGGCTCGTGTTGATGTTAGTAAGAAGCAACTATTATTTTTATACTTGCAACTTGATTTAACATCATGTAGTCAAGATCATTGGTAATGTGTATTCATTGAGTTCATACAGCGTCCAGACGATCCGTCGGAGTGCGCTTTAGGAATCAAATACCTCTAGTGAAAGGTAATTAACATAGACTGCACTTTAGGTTGCACACCCATTGGTGCAGTGTAACCCAGTGTCTTATTTAGTTAAAGGTAACTAACGTAGACTGCACTTTAGGTGGCACACCCATGGGTGCAGTGTAACCCAGTGTCTTATTTAGTTAAAGGTAACTAACATAGGCTGCACTTTAGGTGGCACACCCATGGGTGCAGTATTACCCAGTGTCTTATTTAGTTAAAGGAAACTTACTTTGGCTGCATTTAGGTGGTACACCCATAGGTGCAGTATAACCCAGTGTTTTCTTTAGTTCACGGTAACTAACATAGGCTGCATTTTAGGTGGCACACCCATGGGTGCAGTGTAACCCAGTGTTTTATTTAATTAAAGGTAACTACTGTAGGCTGCACTTTAGATGGCACACCCATAGGTGCAGTGTAACCCAGTGTTTTCTTTAGTAAACGGTAACTAACATAGGCTGCACTTTAGGTGGCACACCCATGGGTGCAGTGTAACCTAGTGTTTTATTTAGTTAAAGGTAATTAACATAGGCTGCACTTTAGGTGGCACACCCATAGGTGCAGTGTAACCCAGTGTTTTCTTTAGTAAACGGTAACTAACATAGGCTGCACTTTAGGTGGCACACCCATGGGTGCAGTATAACCTAGTGTTGTATTTAGTAAAGGTAACTAACATAGGCTGCATTTTAGGTGGCACACCCATGGGTGCAGTGTAACCCAGTGTTTTATTTAGTTAAAGGTAACTACTGTAGGCTGCACTTTAGGTGGCACACCCATAGGTGCAGTGTAACCCAGTGTTTTCTTTTGTAAACGGTAACTAACATAGGCTGCACGTGAGGTGGCACACCCATGGGTGCAATGTAACCTAGTGTTTTATTTAGTTAAAGGTAATTAACATAGGCTGCACTCTAGGTGGCACACCCATGGGTGCAGTGTAAACCAGTGTCTTATTTAGTTAAAGGTAACTAAAGAATAGGCTGCACTTTAGGTGGCACACCCATGGGTGTAGTGTAACCCAGTGTTTTCTTTAGTAAACGGTAACTAACATAGGCTGCACTTTAGGTGGCACACCCATGGGTGCAGTGTAGCCCAGTGTTGTATTTAGTAAAGGTAACTTCCTTTGGCTGCACTTTAGGTGGCACACCTATGGGTGCTGTGTAACCCAGTGTCTTATTTAGTTAAAGGTAATTAACATAGGCTGCACTTTAGGTGGCACATCCATGGGTGCAGTGTAACCTAGTGTTGCTAATGAGTGACTGTAACCCAGTTCAGTTTTTTCTAGAAAGTGCTGTCCTTTAAGTAGCATAAAGACATGCAGACATTCTCTTTAAGACAATGAAATTGGTGTGAGGGAACATTTCTTCAAGTAGTATGGTAGCACAATGTTATGTAATTAATGCATTTTTCCAAATGTTTAGTACTTTTCAGAAGCTTTAAGCAAGGGCACTTTTGTAAGAGATTTTGGTACACACACTGAAATAATTGATTTGGAAGGCTCAGGTTTGTAGAACAACAGTAGTAATAACACTTTGTTTTTTCTTTGGTTACAAGTTCTGATTTTTTCTCTCACTGGCTAAAGAAGGTTTACCATACTATAATATGACTTTATTGAGTGTTTTATACTGAAATAAAAAAATTTTGGAAAATGAGTTTGGAAAATATTAAAATAATTACACTTATTGCTAATGATGAGCTTAGGAGCTGGTACCTTAAAGGTTAGTGTGAACCCACTGACCAGCTTTGCTCCAGTTTAACTTTGCCTAAATGATGTTTAGCCACATCAAAAGGAGCTTTTTGTTTTTAATTTCTCAAAAATATTTACCCAAGGAAAACAAAATGTTTACTTGCAACAGTTATTTGAATGATGTGATAACATATAGGGCCTCTCATTACAGTCTTTCTCAGGTCTTATTTCAGTTTTTGGCTATTTTGCAGATATTAAAGCTGACATGGAGCCTCGCCTTGTTCAGTGGCAAGGCAAGTTGGATGAGCTACTTCTTTTTCAAGAAGTTGTGCAAGTCACGCAAAGAGTCACTATTCACTATTCACTATTGTTTTTCTTGCGTTAGATCTGCTTTTTTCGATTCGATTGCGCCTTGACTATTTTTGTACCGCTACTCCTCTTGCGTTATATTTATTTAAATGAGCAATTTTTAAAAGACAGAAAATGTCCTTCTTTCAATAACGTGGCGGAATAAAACAATTACACAAAGATATTACTATGATACTTTTTGGTAGGAAATATTTTATTTTTGACCAGCACTGTTATGCCTAATTTTGTCCATAAACGGACAAAATTGCTCCGATTTTGAGACGACATTACAGCTTTTTGGCAGCGATCGCCAAGAAACTGAATGTGCCACGGAATTACACCCAATTAAGAAAGATATTTTCTCCCTTCCAGCAGTCATTAGAAAGCCGTTTTGTCCCCTCAAAATCGGATGTAGTTCACACGTTAAAGGTAATAAACTGATAAAAAATGATTTACTATTATCCTGTTGTCAATAGGTTCTTATTCACGTAAGCTGGGTCATAAACTATTTCTTGTGGCAGAATCATGGGGAAGAAGTTGTCCTTCATTTTAAAATCGCTGAAATTGTAGTAACTAAACTTTGAATGAAACTATCGTAGGAAGATTCATTACTTGACGAAGGAATTCCGCATTTAATTGCACGCGAAAAGCG